GGGGGGCTGTGGGGGGCCTCGCGGACTACAAGGGCTCCGAGGGCTCCAAGGGCTCTGTGGGCTGTGGGGGCCGTGAGGGCTCTGTGGCTTGGGAGGGGCGGTGAGGGCCGCGAGGGCGTGGCTGAGGAGCGGGCCTAGGACCTTCAAGGGCGGGTCTCCTGAGGGGATGAAAGAATGGGTGAGGAAAAGAATGCGGAGTGGTTCTAGGCAGAAGTGGAGGATTCCAGAGAGCCGCAGGGAGGGGCCAGGATGGGGTGGGGGGTGGGGAGGTTGCGAGCTGAGAGTGTGACCCATGGAAATGGCCGTGGTTCTGCACAGGTGGCTGGCACAGCGGCTGGGAAGTGTCGCTGTTTGCCATAGAACTCCAGTAGCTCACTTTAATCTTATGGACGGTATGTCTGTTTACATGCCTACTTTCCCCTCCTGGTTCCTTGACTCCTGAATTTGTGTCTGGAAATCTTCAGAGTGTAACTTCATGAGGTGGAGTTTTACTCAGTACTTGTCAGATATGTTAAGTGGGGGAGATTTAATGTTTGAATGTTCATTAAGGGCAGTAGATATAGTGGAGTTGTGTTCTGCAGTGGTTATTAATGGAGGTTTGCAAGGGGAAAGGGGGTGGTAGTGGCTTTGGAGGAAGTAAGGTAAAATAGGGGAAACTGCTATAGAAAGGGACCTAGGCAATCTTTAATGAAGATGCCTTCATTTCTCCTTCAGCTGCTACCTTCTCTTTCTCTTTACACAACTCCTTCAAAGAGTAGCCAGGTGTGGTGATGCATACCTGTAATTCCAGCACTCGGAAGGCCGAGGCAGGAGGATCACTGTGATTTGAGGCCAGCCAGGGCTACATAGCAAGTTCAAGACTAGTATGAGCTACATGAGAAGACCTTGTCTCAAAAACGAAAGACAGAAACCAACCAAACACCCCGCGAAAACAAACACACCAAAGAATTCCCACCAAAACCCAACCAAACAAATAAAAAAAATCAAAAAACAAAACAACGAAAAACCCTAAAGAGCATTCTTCTGGTTCTCTAGTTTCCTTTTCTGTTACCATTCTAAGGACATTGTCTCCTTACTGTACTACCCAAGTGGCTCCTCTTAACGTTGTGGGTACCCTTTACCTTGCCAAACCTAATGAGTCATTTGGTACTTTAAAAAAAAGTATGATAAACTCATACCTTTATTTACATCAGTGTTAATACTTTCCACGACTACCAAGTTTGAATCCGAAGATGAGAGGCACAATCCTAGTGATCACAATCACCTTAAAGTTGTCTAGATACCATTTTGGACTCTGGAGTTAATGTACTGAGAACAGCTACTACACTGAATTTATAAGCAAACCAGGAAACTTTATTTGGAGTAGCAGCTAAGCAGCTTTTCGTGGAGACTGAAAAAGGAAGTAGGGGAAGAATGAATTAAAAAGTACCCTTTAAAAATAATTTTAAAGGTTTAAAAATCCTTCACAGAATCTTAAAAGGCTACATTAATTCAACATTTGAAAGAGATGAAAATAATTTTTAGTAAGATTCTGGAGTAAGGGGCTGGGGAGATAGGAGATAGTAAGGGCCTGGCAAGCGCAAGGGCTTGAGTTCAATCCCCAGTTCCACCAAAAAAAAAAAAAAAAAAAAGGATTGTGACCTAAACCTAGGCCTTAGATTCCATACTTTCTCATTACAGATATAAATCTTCAAGGTATGTATATTAGCTCCAAGTCAACCAAATATAAAATAAGGCTAGGTTATCTTTCACTTTTTTATGCTCTAGATAATGAAGAGAGTAACGAATGTACTTATGATTTCTCCATTAAAAATGTCACTTGAACCATAACAATTTTCAAAGTAATCCGACTTAAAATCAGAGAATACATTTCCACTTCCTATAATCTACCTATATTTTAAGCAACTATGACAATAAATTTAACATTTTTGTTTAAAAGAGATCATTGTTCTTCCCAACTTTTACTTGAAATTGAATCCTTGTTATTAGTAATACTTAGACAAACTTCCCCTTCCAAGGCTGTAAAAATTGAAGGCATTAAATTGATATCTAAAAATCAAAGAATAGCATTATCTATGAAATTAATGTGTTGTATTCTGAAACCTGGCAGCAGAGATTATTTAAGGTGTACTAGACTAATGCTATATAAAAGATTCTGTATGTATATATACACGTATTTCCCCCTCAAGTAAGAATCCTTTTTTAAAAATTGACTCACTATTGGGCAAATGTTCAAATGCTGTTTTAATTCAGCATTTTGTCTCTCTTGAAAGAAAAATTGTTACACAAACATTAAAAGCGCAATAAGTTGGGGCCTGCCCCTTAGCTCAGCTCTTTAAGTGGCTGCTTCAACAAAGCTGTCAGGCTCAGGTTGCTGTGGTTCGATCCCCACAACTCAAGCCAGCCAAACCTGCCCTAAAGGCATTCGGAACAACAACAACAAAAAAGTGCAGTAAGTTAACAAAAGAAAGCTTTTGTTCAGCTTTTATATAAAAAAGTAAAAGAATTTATTCTCTAAAACAAAGTATAAAATAATGTAGAACAATGTTATAGCCCCAAGGAAAGCAGCAAAAGAAATCTCATGGCTAGGTTGTGTTTTCATGATCTTAACCCCATTGTTTCCTTGCTTTATGTGCCTTATTCTAAACAAAATCCATAAATACAAATTCAGGCCAATAAATTAGGAAAGTTATGATGTTTATAAAAATATAGTTTGCCTTTCTGTTAAATGTATTAAAAAAAGGAGATGTAGCAAACATAACAGCTCTTCCTGTGACTGTAGAAAATTTTATTAAAAAGGATAGGTTTGCCATATATGAAAACTTTCTTATATATTCTAAGGATATACTGAAAAGTCCAGTAATGAAAAACAGTGATGCCTATAAAGGACCATACTTAGCTGTATGAAATAAGCAATATTACTATCAACTGGCAGAAAAATATAAGTCCATGATATTGTACTCTATCTGCCATTAACAAGTCTGTACAGATTACTTGTCTTTTAAATGTAAGATTGGTAAAAATGCTACTTTTAACATTCAACTAAATACACCAAAACCAGACCAGAAAACTAGCTGATACTTAAAGGAGTAGCCTGAAGCCATGTACGACCTTTCTGTTATTGTTCATATTGAATTTTCTTTTTTCACAACCTTAATAAGTTCTATTCAGAATTTCTAAAGCATTTCTAAAGCTTTCCTATTCTAAATCATCTCTCAGTATGATGAATACTAAATCATAGCACGTTATGTTAACAGAATCCTGTAAGACACTGTTCTGATGTACCTTGGGGTCCGCTTCTCAGCTCTCTAGTGGTGATGCTATTTTGCTCATTGAACAAATACTTGTTCTGCTTATGGTGCACCCAATCTGATCTATAGACAAACTAGTCACAAGGCCATAGATTACAGCTCTAAAGCCCACCTGCTTTCTTTGCATCATTAAAACTTGAGAGGAGTTCCTTCTAAGTTAAATTTTCTAATATTCACAGTATGAAATGGTTTGAAGTAGGTAATCAAATTTTTAAGACTGAACTCAGTGGTCTTACATAGAAGCATAGAATACCTCTGGTGGAGTCTAAGGATTACTTCAGGGCAAGCTTCTTTCTGCTTACCAAATCTGAATTAGCTGTACCCACAAAACACATTTTGAAATTTGTTTCATAAAAATAAATTATAATTTTCATAATTAGATTATGACTCACTCCATATAAGTCCTAAAGCAAATAGAAAAAAAATTCCATCAAGTTCAAGTGGTAAGCTCAAGGTTTAAAGCTTATAAGAAATGAAAATAGGAAATGAGAGCTACACAGTGGGCATCTTGGGTGCAACATGCAATGATATGTATACTGCATTTTGTTAGCATGACAACTGCATTTCTACATTGAGAGAATATACGTGCATACTCTGATATACCATTCCTCTAATAAATATATATGTACCTCATATAAATACATTCTCATAGGAAACATTGCCTTTACATTAAATTGTCATTTTGCCAACAATTAGCACTGAATAACAATAAATTATGACTTACTGTTGTATAGTTTGAATTGCTAAAATATTACAGATGTTTACACAGAATTGTAGTAATATACAAAAACACAAATAAAAATCGGATAAAAATATTTAAAGCAA